GGGCCCAGTTCCCAGCACGTGTTGCTCCCCACGAATAGATTGGAGCTTTTTTCCCATTAAAAAAAAAAAAAAAAAAAAAAAAAAAAAAGGCAGCCAAAAGGGAACTTAGAACCGATGATGACGGCACAATTCAACATTCAAATCATAGGGTTACAACTTCGAAGTTAGAAGTTCGAACCAGTACTACAAACTTCTAAGTTCGAACCAACTTAGAAGTTAGAAGTTCGAACCAATGATGAATCGATGATGGCACAATTCAAAATTCAAATCATCGGGTTGGTAGAACCCAAATGGATCGGCAATAACACGACTGACCTGCGGTCAACCAGAGAAGACAGCCATGTTTGCAAATAACTTTTTGCCATCGGTCCAGAAGTCTTGTTACTTCAGCCCCATCATTTCCTCAGACTCTACACAAATCAGCCAACACACAAAACTATGGATCTGTTGCCAGATCTTATTATGACATAATAGTATAATGCACGACAAGCAACACAGGGAAGGGAAAAAAAAAACCTGAAAAATAAACAGAATTTAAGAAACAAAACAATGGGGAGTAGGTGTTGCGGTGTTAGCCCCAGCAGCTTGGCGCCATTTCTGGCCAAGGCATTCTACAGTACTGGCCACTGTTCGCAGACTCTTAAACCATTTATCCGCAGTGGCTTTTATTCGCAGCCTCTTAAACTATTTTAGTATTTTAGTACTAATTATTATAATTTACATTATTCATGCGGTATATGGACCTGTCAAGAGAAGCTGAATCCAAAGGCAAGAAACAGCACCCCAACAAAAGACAAAAAAGTGGCGAAGGAAGAAAGAGCACTACATACCACACAAAAACATAGGCTGCGATGCCTGAATCGTCAATGCCTTGCCGGCAGTTGCAGAAGAAAACATACCCTGCAATGCTTGCTTAACACACTCACAAACATGGAAGGGTGTTGAGCAAAAAAAAATAAAAAAAATCCTGAGGAGAAGCAGGGAATGAAAGCCACTGATCAGGTATTGAGAAAATGGACACGGATTTTAAATCATTAAACCCTAATGAGAGAGGAAACCTTCAGAGCATGCTTACTTTGGTTGCCGCCGCTGAGCACCACCACCAAAAGGGTCCAAGCCTTGAACTGAAGACAGGGGCCCAAAAGGGAGAGAGAACCTCAGGTGTTGAAAGTCGGAACATCTCCTGAAACCAAACAGAGCAGTGATGAGAATCGGTTGGCACAATTAGACCAGAAGCTGTGGCCAAGACGAAGATATAAAGAAGAGAACAGATATGAAGATGAAGAACTGGCTGCACCACGAACCCCCACCCATCCTCCCAGCATACCAACCCACTGCACGTTCAGAGTTTAGTACAAAAAATGTCACGTGCGTCATGGCGAAAAGGGTTACTTGGGAACTTCTGTTTTAGCATATTGCAGCATCATTCTGAGCAGCTCTTTTGCTAGCTCACCCCCACCCTCCACCACCCCCTACTTTCACCTACATGCCCTCCTGCTTCTTCCGTCCCTAGCTCGTCCCTCCACCTTCCTTGCTCTGCCTTCTGTCTTCCCTTCCATCATCTGCCATCTCTCCTCTCCCTTTTCCCCCATTTGCCATCTCCCACCACTCCACTGTACCTGTCTCCCTGCCTGTATCCCTCTCCCTCCCTCCCTCCCTCTCTCTCTCTCTCTCTCTCTCTCTCTCTCTCTCTCTCTCTCTCTCTCTTTTCATGCATCAGAGACATGCACGCTGGCGTGGGCATGGTGCTGTCAACTATGGAGAAATGAGATATTCCCACCTTTCCAAGATGGTGGTGGGTCATGATCCTAAGTGCCCATTCTGGACATTTTTTTGAGCAGGACCAAAAAAACAAAGGGTAGTGCTGAGCATTGTAATCTTTTCAACAACCTGAACACACATGTTATCTGATATTCCTTGGCGCTCTCTTTGCCATCCTCTTCGCCATCCTCCTCCTCTTCATTCTCCCTGTGACCCCTAAAAAAACACCAAACTCAACAGACACCATACACCAGCTCCAAGGACACGACCCACAGTCAACGGTCACATCCATCTTGAAAGCCACCAGAGAGGATCTGAAGACTCAACACCGACAAGCCCAACTATGCTTCAGATCTTGTTAGCCCTGCCCTATCTCTCTATACATACATGGTCTAAAAACTCTCTCTAAAGACTCTAAATTTGTAAAGGCACACAATTTCCTAGCTTCCCTGACAATCTCTAAAGACACACAGTTTCCTAGCTTTCCTGACAACCTCTGAGCTCTTCTGAACCACCTTTGCTGATGCCGCAGATCTCTTCGTAGGGTTCACTCTCACATAACCAAAAAGCTTTCCACAAGGACAAAGGACCAAGCAACCCTAGCTGCCCCCTAGCCCTCACTCTTCCCTTGTTATCGGTCAGCATTTCCAGGAGCCAGGAGCCCTCCGTCTTTCCGCTGCTAAGTGCACATACGAGTAGACAACGTCACACCTCCATTGCTATCAGCAGTTATGGGTAGAGATAGCACACACAAGCACATCCCCAAACAAACTCCTCATCAAAAATGAGCTTATGAAACAGTCAGGCCTGCTCATCTCTAGAAAACAGAGCAGTGTTCAACGCTGGACACAATTACTACTGCTCCGCAGGCGTGATCGTAATTACCCATTTTTGACATTACAGATAAACCAGGCATCAAGCAGATGACCGCCTTCATTCCGGATAAACCAGGAGCCAAACACACAACCATCCCACAGTGTCTCCAATAAAGCAGAGGCACCAAGGAAGCTAAGTCCGACAGCCTGGCACCATAGCCCGTCTGTTGCTCGCAGAATTCTTGTGCAACAGTTATTGGCTCCGTACGGATTGATTATGTGCTAGGCGCAGAATCCGTCAGGAGGTTGGTTGCTCCGTCAGGAGGTTGGTGGTTGTCTCCTCGTATCACGGTTGACGAAACACATGGACTTCAAACCCAGTGTCGATTACTCTCTTCACTTCGAAGTTCGAACCCATTTCTTTCGACTATTCTCTTCATTCGCTCTAACCCGGAGTAACAACCACAGACTGCCACAAAGGGGAAAAGGAAATGTAAGCATCGACGATAGATTGGGTTCAAGCTGGCTGCTGTTTGCGGTCGTTGTTCAGCTCAAGTCAATAGGTGTGTGGTTGGCAGACATCCATGATGACTCGCTGAAGCCGTGAACGACTTGAGAGCCACCAGTTGTATTCCTTTTCGTTGACAACCATAGAGCGAGGTATGCGACCCGAGCCTGTAAATAGGGAAATACCATACCATCGGTGCCTATAGATTATCATAAGGATTCCGGAACTTTCTCAAAAGATCCGGAATATCCTTACTCAGAACCTCGTCAACGACTTGAATCAGTCTTGGTTTTAACTTCTCGAACTTGTCGATGCTATAACCTTCTAATGTGTCACGGAAGATATGGACATTTGGGAAGTCTCCGGCGGCGAGATGATGCTCTCTCTGAACCTGCAGTATGACAACATCATGTGCACACACACAGACACACACACGCACGCACACAAACATACACACATACATACAAACAAAACAGAAAACAAAAAGAGAAAGAAAAGAAAAACAGGAGAGGACGAGCCAACTCGTCAGCACAGTCCACAAATTGACAACAACGTCTGATGATGGAAGGGGGAAACAGTGAAGCATTTCGGATTTATCATTGAGAGAGAGATGGCTAATGGAAGGGCCAAAATTCGGGGGGTTCCGCCGCATCACCACAAGCAATGTTGTCGAAAATTTTGCAAACAAACAATGCAGGCTCATAATACAAACATTGAAAAAAAAACAGGCAAAAAAAAACGAAAAAAAAAGGAACTCATAAGCACTATAAAACGGGGTATTAAAACCCTATTCGCCAAAATTTTCTACCAATTCGGTGTTTTTGCCAACTTACTGGTCCAAATACGTTGAAACTGAATACATATATACCCTAAAGCAGGGTTGCATACCCCGACGGTCGGCGCCCATGACTGGTCGGCACCTACCGATCCGGGGTCGTCAGCACCCGCAAAGAAAATAAAAATAAAAATTGTTTTTGGGTCCAGAATCCCCAATAACCCCACCAACCGCTCCATACCTGGCCCCAATACCCCCATACACCCCCCCAGCACCCCCCTAGCAACCCCAAACCGCCCCCCAACATCCTCATACCCCCCCACAATACCCCCAATAGCACCCCTATACCCCCCTATCCCCCCCCCCCCCTACCGATCGGGGGTCGTCAGCACCCGCAAAGAAAATAAAAATAAAAATTGTTTTTGGGTCCAGAATCCCCAATAACCCC